TTTTCAGTTTTTGAAACGGACATTTTTGTTTATCTGATTTGTCAAAATGACATGTGCATAAAATTTATTGTTACAAATCAACAAATCCAAAAGCCTACTATAACTCATTATGTAGAAACCACAACACCATTTATATCTGGCACTGATGTTCGATACCATAGGTCGTTAAATCTTGACCATTTAACTTTCTTGTGTCTTGTGATTGGGCAGTTTCTTCCTTTGGTATAAAAAGACCGGTGATTATTGAATCTGATGTTGAATTTAGTTTCTGTTTCGCCAGCATATTGCAGCTTGCAAGTTCCACAAGTAAGAATATAAATACTATTTTCCGTTTTACAATTAGATGTAACATAGATGTTGTACTGCTGCTTTGTTACTGTGCTGGTGAAAGAGTGGTCAGTTGGCGACTTTACAGCACTTACAATTGCTTCTGCCAAGAACAAAAAAATTGTGAAAGCAAATTTACAGATCTAACATTGTTGGGCTGATGTTTAGACGAGTTGTATATACAGAATGTACACAGCCATGTATCACCATCACTGCTGGTGATCCGATGGATAAATCTGTTGTAGAGTTGTCACTGGTTCAGACGTACTTATAAATATAATTATTTCTGTGACTGTATCTTGCATTAATTTGTAGGATCCTTTACAATAGATATTTCAGCAGATCTGTAACAATTCCATCTTCATGCCTTATATATCATGTACTGTATTACGACGCTATATTAAAACTGACGAGGAAAGGTAACACCCGACCACCGAAAGCTTTATTTTTTGTGAAGCCTAGGTGGTCTTGCGGTCTAGCGCGTCGGATACAGTGCAGGCGATTTGGTGTCACGATATATCAGTAGCATGAGTTCCAATCCCGGCGAGGGAAGAACAAAATATTTGTGAAAGCAAATTCACAGATCTAACATTGTTGGGCTGATGTTTAGACGAGTTGTATATACAGAATGTACACAGCCATGTATCACCATCACTGCTGGTGATCCGATGGATAAATCTGTTGTAGAGTTGTCACTGGTTCAGACGTACTTATAAATATAATTATGTCTGTGACTGTATCTTGCATTAATTTGTAGGATCCTTTACACTAGATATTTCAGCTGATCTGTAACAATTCCATCTTCATGTCTTATATATCATGTACTGTATTACGAAGCTAGATTAAAACTGACGAGGAAAGGTAACACCCGACCACCGAAAGCTTTAGTTTTTGTGAAGCCTAGGTGGTCGTGTGGTCTAGCGCGTCGGATACAGTGCAGGCGGTTTGGTGTCACGATATCTCAGTAGCATGAGTTCGAATCCCGGCGAGGGAAGCACAAAAAATTTGTGAAAGCAAATTTACAGATCTAACATTGTTGGGCTGATGTTTAGACGAGTTATATATACAGAATGTACACAGCCATGTATCACCATCACTGCTGGTGATCCGATGGATAAATCTGTTGTGGAGTTGTCACTGGTTCAGACGTACTTATAAATATATAATTATGTCTGTGACTGTATCTTGCATTAATTTGTAGGATCCTTTACACTAGATATTTCAGCTGATCTGTAACAATTCCATCTTCATGTCTTATATATCATGAACTGTATTACGACGCTAGATTAAAACTGACGAGGAAAGGTAACACCCGACCACCGAAAGCTTTATGTTTTGTGAAGCCTCGGTGGTCTTGCGGTCTAGCGCGTCGGATACAGTGCAGGCGATTTGGTGTCACGATATCTCAGTAGCATGAGTTCCAATCCCGGCGAGGGAAGAACAAAATATTTGTGAAAGCAAATTCACAGATCTAACATTGTTGGGCTGATGTTTAGACGAGTTGTATATACAGAATGTACACAGCCATGTATCACCATCACTGCTGGTGATCCGATGGATAAATCTGTTGTAGAGTTGTCACTGGTTCAGACGTACTTATAAATATAATTATTTCTGTGACTGTATCTTGCATTAATTTGTAGGATCCTTTACAATAGATATTTCAGCTGATCTGTAACAATTCCATCTTCATGCCTTATATATCATGTACTGTATTACGACGCTAGATTAAAACTGACGAGGAAAGGTAACACCCGACCACCGAAAGCTTTATTTTTTGTGAAGCCTAGGTAGTCTTGCGGTCTAGCGCGTCGGATACAGTGCAGGCGATTTGGTGTCACGATATCTCAGTAGCATGAGTTCGAATCCCGGCGAGGGAAGAACAAAAAATTTGTGAAAGCAAATTTACAGATCTAACATTATTGGGCTGATGTTTAGACGAGTTGTATATACAGAATGTACACAGCCATGTATCACCATCACTGCTGGTGATCCTATGGATAAATCTGTTGTAGAGTTGTCACTGGTTCAGACGTACTTATAAATATAATTATTTCTGTGACTGTATCTTGCATTAATTTGTAGGATCCTTTACAATAAATATTTCAGCTGATCTGTAACAATTCCATCTTCATGCCTTATATATCATGTACTGTATTACGACGCTAGATTAAAACTGACGAGGAAAGGTAACACCCGACCACCGAAAACTTTATTTTTTGTGAAGCCTAGGTGGTCGTGTGGTCTAGCGCGTCGGATACAGTGCAGGCGATTTGGTTTCACGATATCTCAGTAGCATGAGTTCGAATCCCGGCGAGGGAAGAACAAAAAATTTGTGAGAGCAAATTTACAGATCTAACATTGTTGGGCTGATGTTTAGACGAGTTGTATATACATAATGTACACAGCCATGTATCACCATCACTGCTGGTGATCCGATGGATAAATCTGTTGTAGAGTTGTCACTGGTTCAGACGTACTTATACATATAATTATTTCTGTGACTGTATCTTGCATTAATTTGTAGGATCCTTTACAATAGATATTTCAGCTGATCTGTAACAATTCCATCTTCATGCCTTATATATCATGTACTGTATTACGACGCTAAATTAAAACTGACGAGGAAGGGTAACATCCAACCACCGAAAGCTTTATTTTTTGTGATGCCTAGGTGGTCGTGTGGTCTAGCGCGTCGGATACAGTGCAGGCGATTTGGTGTCACGATATCTCAGTAGCATGAGTTCGAATCCCGGCGAGGGAAGAACAAAAAATTTGTGAAAGCAAATTTACAGATCTAACCTTGTTGGGCTGATGTTTAGACGAGTTGTATATATATATATATACTAAACTAAATTGAAAACAACGTTCAAACCTATGATTGCGTTGGATAAAAACCGCAATTTTTATACGTGTGCATGCAAAACAAATTTCTTGTTAGAGGGGTCTAAATACAGCACAAACAACATTTTCCAAAAGACAAAAAAAGTGAAAAAGTATATTTTAACAAAACGCATTTGACTAACAGGTCGAACAGCATCTGTTCTTAAACCCTGCTGACTGCCATTGGTGATTGCCAAATAAACGGATCACAAGGTGTAATAAATGGATCTTAACTATAAATTTAATACCAAACAGAAAACAATAAACTTGCGGAAAAGATGGTATACCGCAAACATGAGGTGCAAAAATTTGTACACCATATCCGGATTGCGACAATTAATGTCTCTTCAGTGATGTTAGGAATCGAAACAGTTATTGGAAGGCCATATAGTTTACCTCAATTTTGGATAGACTCTTGAATTTTGAGGAGTCAAAATAAGATGAACGGATCATATTAAACCGAAGGCATATATAATACAAGCCCAAACGAAAAAATATAAACAAGTCTAAATTGAAAACAACGTTCAAACCTATGATTGCGTTGGATAAAAATCGCAATTTTTATACGTGTGCATGCAAAAAAAAATTTCTGCTAGAGGGGTCTGAATACAGCACAAACAACATTCTCCAAAAGACCAAAAAGTGAAAAAGTATATTTTAACAAAACGCATTTGACTAACAGGTCGAACAACAAAATTGTTCTTAAATCCTGCTGACTGCCATTGGCGATTGCCATAAAAACGGATCACAAGGTGTAATAAATGGATCTTAACTATAAATTTAATACCAAACAGAAAACAATAAACTTGCGGAAAAGATGGTATACCGCAAACATGAGGTGCAAAAAAATGTGTACACCATATCCGGATATAAGCGTTCTAAATAACTGTAAAACTGTAAACCGCAATAGTAAATGGTTGATATAATCCTAATTTTATTAATTTGTTAAGTACACATGCATACAATGTATCTATACAGCCTACAAAAACATTCCAGCATCAACAGCATTTTACATTTATTATGATATCTGATTTCTTACCTGACGAAACAAAAACATAACCAACGTGTCAAAAACTTTATTAAAACATTATTTGATGTGCATGTGTGCGGTTCGTAATTTAGCAATTCGATGTATATCTTTCTATTTTTGAATGCTCCTAAATTACAAACGAAAATATAAAAGTCATGTCTGAATAAAAAGAGTTAGAGTAGAATTAAATTCCAAGTAAAGACGTTTATCATGTTAATTGTTCGGCTATTTACCGCTTCGTGAAACTAATTACTAATATCTTATATTGATCACTAAAATAACAAGTTAGTAAAATCTGTCACTTGATGTTTAGTGAAGGTATAACTGTAATTGAACTATTGCTTATCAGTAGCTTTCCTCTGATTGGGGAAAAACGATGTGTGTTGACAACACTTTGGTATTTTATTGGATTGATTACTTGAAAGATCACCACTACCTTGTAGCTATTTGATTTAATTATACTTTTGAATTATATCAGTGTAGATTTTATAGATTGTATACCGCATCCAAAGCCAAAAATTAGCAAGAGATTGTTCAAAAAACCTTTACAGTAATCAAATTAGTTTTTGAAATATTGGATTACGACTTATTCATACAATTTCTGTGTAATATCTTGATGAAAGAGCTGATTTGCAGTTCTTCAGGAATTTGATATATAGAATGCTAGTATAAAGACTTAAACAGTGATTAAAAATGCATTTTTGGTAATATTTTACATTATATAATGACAAGAAACACCACTTTTACGGAAAACAGAACGATGGAAGAAAACATATTCGTTATGCCATGGTGGCAACAGGGGCTGTTTATTACAGCCTTCGTTACGCTGCTGTTGGTAGCCACAGTTGGTAATTCAATTGTGATTTGGATCGTGTTAGCCCATAAGAGAATGAGAACAGTAACGAATTACTTCCTGGTTAATTTAGCAGTGGCCGATGCTCTGATTTCTGTACTTAATACATTATTTACATCAACATTTCTGATGTATCAAGATTGGTGGTATGGATTAGTATGGTGTAAATTTACAACATTTATTTCAGTATGTACTGTGGCAGCCAGTGTTCTTACTTTAATGGCTATTGCTATAGATAGGTAAGTAGCAAATACATATGTGTGTGCTTTGGAACGCCATCTTCACAATGATTTTGACAATGAGTGTTAATCGTCTGAAAATTGATTCGAAGAATAAAAGTAAAGAAGGACCTCCAATTCTTTATTTTTTTAAATAATCGTAAACATATACTTTAACTTCCATAAATGGCACCAGGGGCCTATAATTCGGAGGTTTTCGTTGGACGCTGGCTATCAAATTTGTTTTTTAATGTTTTTTTTGTTTTGTACATAAATCTTGTTGTTGGTTTTCTTGTTTGAATTTGTATTACAATTTCTCATTTCGATGGCTTTCTATAGCTTACTATACGGTATGGGTTTTGCTCATTGTGGAAGGCCGTACATGTAAGTAACCTTTAGTTACTTACAACTACGCTATTTGGTCCCTGATGGATAGATGTCTCATTCGCAATCATACCACATCTCTTATTTCTATACTGTTATTGGCAAACATGTTTCCCCTTTTCGTGATTCCCTTATTTTCCTATTCGTCTTTCATGCCTGGATGGTATCGGTGCTGGTGAACTGTTAGTTCTAGAGTGTTTCATCAGCTCATTATTCAGTGCTTTGGAACTATCATACCATTAATAAACTCATCATAGATACCAGGATTGAAATTTTATATTTGCGCCAGACGCGCGTTTCGTCTACAAAAGACTCATCAGTGACGCTCGAATAAAAAATGTTAAAAAGGCCAAATAAAGTACAAAGTTCAAGAGCATTTAGTACCAAAAATTCCTAAAAGTTTTGCCAAATACAGCTAAAGTTAGTTATTTCTGAGGTAGAAAATTTCCAACCGTGCGAGGGTTGTATAGCCAGTAAAGGTCGTTAAAAACTTCCATCATCATCACCATTAAATTATCCGTTGATAGATTTAGATATTATGAAACTAAGGTACCAACTCCCTCAGGTAAAGTCGGCCTTTGATGAATTTGGATATTTTTTTTATTATATTGCTCCCTACGTGTTCAAATATTTATACATCTACGTGGATTTTGATCAAATGTTTGTAGACTAAGAGTTCCCGATGAAGGCCAATCCAGAAAACCGTTCAGAAACACCAAATTAATCAAGTTTTATTTTCATTTCCAGTCCATTAGAACAACTAATTTATGCAGAGTATACAATGTACATGTTTAAGGAGGCTCCGAACTATATCATATACAAATTTCAGGAACTCCATAATTCTAATTTTGGATATCAATAAATCATTTTGGACCTCCTGAATTATTTCAGATCCTCCATTGTTCGATTTCAGGATATATAATTGGTCAAATTGCTTTATTTCAGGATATCCTTTATATTCACAACTAAATATTTCAGGACCTCCGCTATCTAATTCTAGGATATTCTTAAATGTTAACGGATCCCACACTTTTTTCAGGACATTTAGAATTCGACTACATGATATCCTTAAATATTTATTTATCTCCATAATTACGACTTGAAGATCATCAATTAATTCAATATCAGCGATTTCTAGGGATTCATTTAAAGATTATCTAAATTAAATACAAATGAGAGTATCATCACTATACTGTTGCGTTTAGTCATCCTCATCATCCCAGGTTTATTGTCAAAAGGAAAAACTTAGAATAATTTCTAAAAGTTTCATTGTGTGGTTCTGACATTTCATAATAAGCCAGATCGAGTTATTCACGGCTCGTTTAAAGATATAAGAAGATGTTTAATAACTTTTAAAAATTTTCCAAACTGATGATAAAATGTACAATGTCACCCGCTTTGTGTCAAATGTAACAGTTACATGGCGGATTTGAATCCTCAGCTATCTTTATAAAACGTTAAGGATCTTTGTACGGTGTATATACCTTTTGTTTTTGAACCAAGTGAACCAGAAAGTAATCAGTAGAATAACCAATATTTTGTAACTATGGTCCAAATAATGACACAATTGGTCTACAGGGATTTAAGGCTTCTTTTCTTGTAATTTTGTCATTTCTTATATAGCAGTTAGAATATTTGTAGGCACTTTTTGCAATTTTGGCAATAGATAAAACTTCTTTCACAACCATAATTTAAGAATACATGTATATAAGTATATTCATTAAACAGACCGAATTGAGAGATGAATACGAAAATCAATCACATGTTTATACATGCTAGCATGAAGCTTGCTATCAAATTTCAAGAAACTCTGATTTGTAGTTTGTAGTTCCTGAGAAAAATACCGAATACAACTTTATGGGACAGCAGTACAGACGTAAACCATTACATGTATAACCCCTCATTCGGAACGAATTTAAAATAAAATCGTATAATAGAATACTCGCAGTTATAAAAAAGCAATATAAAATTACTCCACGACATTGCGTCCGAATTTTTCGAAGGGATGATTTCAACTTCACTACTTGGAATTCTTGGTTTAATAGCTTCTTTGTAAGATGTTTGTCATACACATGCACATAGGAAATAATACGAATGTGCAGTAAACGTCCGATGCAATTACAATCCAACATAATAATCAAACTAAAACAAACGACACTTACATTCTTACGGTCTTACATGTTGGAAATCTTCAGAGTCGGACAAATTTCGAATCGAGTTTACAACTGTACCAAAAAAAAAAACAAAAAAACACGCATTTAGAAAAAAATTTAACAGATGACAAATTCTTGACTTGAGAGACAGCACATAAACATCTGGCGGGATTTTTGTGAGTACTCATCTAAAACAGGAAAATAACAAGATATGTGAAAAACGTTAAGAAATCAGTCAAAAAATATCACTATCAAAATACAGTTATATTATTATAACAGATAATCCAGCTACATGAAAACATAGAAAAATATCGTATCAAAACCTGCATGCAGTTACTTAACAAGATCAAAGCATTTCATCATACAGAATTTCTTCATTTTTACATTTTATTGAATAAAATATCAATGTATGCAAACTATTTTATGTAATTAAGATAAAAATCGTATAAATCGGAGATTCAAATTACTAAGGAATGTAAATTACCCTTTCATGTACATGCACTCGTGTCCTTGTGTGACATAAAGTTATCATAGTCCTTAAGTTTTAGTATAAAACAAAAGAGATGTATTATGATTGCCAATGAGACAACAATCCACCGAAGTTCAAAAGAGGCAGATGTAAGCAATTGCAGTGTTCATTTTATATACTATATACATATTACTTACTTTCGTTAAATGATAATATTTTGAAAATAAGCTATAACTTATTAACTAAAATAATCCAGAAATGTAACTACTGAAACAATAATATCTGCTTCACACCTTTACTTTCATCAATGGATATCAAAAGACGTTTGACCGTTATGGAATACCTGTGTCACTGCTGACATAGTATATGTTCCAATTGTTGTAAAAAGTAGAATAACAAAATACTGAACTCCAAAGAAAATTCATAACGGAAATGGTAAAATCTAAATCTCAAACACATCAAACTAATGGATCTAATTTGTTCATTCCATGAGCAACAAGAAAGTTTAACAAATATACCGAACTCCAAGGCAAATTCAAAAAGGAGGAAGTCCATAAAAACTGACAAAATCAAACGCTATCAATCAACGGAACAAGAGAAAAACAACTGCCATATTCCTGACTTATTGCAAGACGGGTGCCACTATTGGAGTTGGATTGCTTACACTTACGGTGAACCTGTATTCACTCTCAGATTTTGGTGTCGTTCGTGTTGCTGTGTTTTTAGATTTTTATGTTACTGTTTTTGACTTGTTTGTCGTCTCTTCTTTTTTTCTTTTTTTGCCATGTCGTTGTCAGCTAAACTTTGACCTACATGTATTTGATTTGAATGGCACCTTGGAATCTACTGCCCCATTTATTCAACAAACCAATGATTTTAAATTTGACCCTGATGGTTGACTGGAATATTGAATTGTGTTCAGCTAGACTTTTCCCGTCTGGCATTTATACCAATGCTTAGGCGACGTCTGTTTGGTTGTGCGAGATGAACAATAAGATACAGCCATGTCTAGTTGGTAAATGGAAGCTAAATTCTAAGCTTCGTATAAGAAAAGTACCAGACCCTCTGCCGGTTACAGAATAATTGTAACAATTCTTTTCAACAAATTTATTATTGTGTCAATTTTAAAGTTTTTGAAAAAATAAAGTGACAAAATAATAAGCAAAAAAAAAACATTACAGCACAATAAAGCAAAGAAATGACTTCCCGAGTTTACAAATAATGAATAAAATGTGACATGAGAGAGTTTGGACCGATTATGAATTGTTCATCATGTATTCATTAGTTTTGAAAATGAAATATTTATTCAGTTTTAATATTGCGTAGGTGACATATTGCTTGCAAGGCAACATTTTTGTCCTAGTCTGAAGAAAGACGAATATAGAGATACATGTACAAATGAATCGCAACGAATTGTTTTTTTTTTAAACAGCAGGTTCTAATTAATTTAAACGATATTCCGTATGACTCTTCATGGCATGATAATTAGATTGAGATTCAAATTACCTTGGAGCTTTTCACTTTAAAACATTTTTGCTTAGTGCTTAGTTCGTTAATTACTAAAAAAAAATGTCAATTACTTAATATATCCGAAGTGCGAGACATCCTCCCGCCATACATTTCATGACCCACAATTACAAGATTGGTTTTATGTAATATCTTTCTATGTGGCAGCCCTTTATTTTTTTTAACTCAATGTTTGAGTCACCCCTCTAACAATTTTACTTCTACAACTAAGAGATTTCCATTATACTGACACCTGCAGAGGCAAGTACAATCAGTATACTGGCAATTTTCAGTAATTATATAAATATATAAGAACAAAATAAAAGAAAGGGAATTGTAGAAAGTCTACGTTTGTGCCTATTTCATGACATTTTAATTGTCCCTTTGGTGTCTTCTATCTCTTTTTTCTTATCTAGCAAACACAAAAGATAATTAAGCATCTTCAAGGAGCAAACATACGAGACAATATAGCTTTTTATCCATTCACAGAAACTAACGCCATATGTCCGAGATGTTTAGTATTTATGTATCTTGATATCTACAATGACATATGTTCTCATTAAGGCGATTGTACTGACACAGGTTTACCATTAACTTATAAACCATTTCCGGAATGTTATGAAGAACGACTGAAAATTAACATCAGGGGTTCTATAATCGACATCATTAATATATTGTCTAAAAGTTTCCACCTACTAGAGACATGTTTATTCTACAATAGATCCCATATGTCCAATCTTGTTTTTTCAGACATAATTTACGGTTTAGTCATGTAAATGACCAAGAGAATTTTACTGGTTTGACTTTGATATCACATGACGGTAATATGTACATACATAGTATAAGATACTTACATTCGTTTGATGTGTTTAAGCTTTCGATTTTGCCATCTAATAAAGGACTTTCCGTTTTAAATTTTCCTTGGAGTTCGGTTTTTTTGATATTTTACTTTTTACTAACCCTGATTAGAGATTGATGTTGCATTACCGGAACGTCACTATTTTGGACGTTCTGATTGGTCCGGTCGATATTAACGAGAACACACGAGACTAAGGAACGAGAATCATGAGGATTAATTGATTGGTTAATGCTTGCTTTACAACAAAGATTCCATACATATTCAGGACGAGATTGAATTTAAAATTAATATAATAGGTAGGTTCTACAAAATAGTCGACTGTGATGAATGGCGAAGACAAATCGTGGTATGTCAGATAGAGGCTGACATTTGGCCATGCAACAAAACACCCATAGAAACGTTGCAAGAGAGGGTGGTATGACCCCTACTCGAGGCGTCGGATTTAACGTCCCTTTTCAAACGTTCATTGATGTGCATTTATAATTTTCGCACAACCGCAGCCAAACGCTCGCAGCTCTTTAGCATAGAGTTCATTGCCAGGCGGGAGAAGCCCAGGTGGCTATATATTTATATCTCAGTAAACACGTTGAGATTATTTATCTACGATGACGTAAGCTGAATGTTTGAATAAGTAAAATGTCATTTCTGTGTTCGCTTAGAATTCGTGTGGTTGGAACTGTTTTGGTCTTATAACTGTTATATACTTATACATTTTATGTAACAACAGTACACTATCTTGAAGTCCGTATTTAAATGATCAAAAGCAAGATGTTGTATTTATCATTAAGATATTTAATTTCTACACCTAACATTGTTTTTTTTCAAAAAGCGTGATGTAAATCTTGAAACATTCCTAATAAAAATATTTATTTCTAAGAATTATGTATTCAGATGCTGTTGTCATAAGACACACACAGGACTTATTTACTAGTATTTCAAATTTGATTAAACATTTAACAGTTATTATGACAGGAAACAAAGCAACATAGAAATAGAACTTCTCGTTGAAAAAATTACAATATCTAAAAACTACACGACTGTAGTAAGACGATGCTTTCTTTATGAATTATTCGTTAGAATGAGTACGGCAATAGAAGAAATGGAGTATTTGAAGTAAGAAGTATATAACTAGGTCCCTCTGAATATAATTTGCTAAATTGATTTGATGAAAGATTAACCTCTTTACTTAGACTGTTGTTCATTAAATTTAAGCGTTTGTTTGTATTTTGTGTGTTGTAGTAAACATCATCAAACATATATATTAGACTGCTTTCAACCCCTTTGTGCAATGTCTAAAGCCAAAGTATTCTGTAGAAGTAAATTATCTGTTTTTAATTTGTTCTTTGATTATTTAAATTTACAACACCTAAAAACGTTCTCTTAATATTTGTTTGATTATATTCATTAGTTGTCAAGTTGATAATTCTCTAAATGTAACTTAGCTTGTACATAATATACTCAAGGACGTTTGAGGCGAATTTGAGCTTGTTTTCAGTAAATGTGAGAAGAGTCCTTTGATGTGATGTTGAGTTTCACAATTTATTGAAAAGGATTCATAATGCAGCTGAAATCAAGCCTCAGGGATATAGAACAGCTTGTTTATTTATTTAAGTTGTACATGTGTTTTTATTATGTGTTATATATATTATAGAATTAAATGCACTTCCTTTATTGATTTTGACTGTGTATTCTTTAATGTGCTCTTTAAATTGTTAGTATAAACAATATTTTATTCGGAAAACAAATAAATAAACACGTACATACACGTACAGCAATGCAATACAAGGATTGGAAAACAAGTAACAAGTCACTCATACAAATTCCTCTCCTATACAAGGATTATAAATCTTATTCCATTGAGCGAGATGCAATAAGGAATGGTGTTAATATCTCATAAAACTAGTGTATTCCTACACCTCAATTGTGAAATTCTAAAATGCATGTTCAAAGGTGTTCCTTCCGATGATAGGTGGCTCCGTTTACTTAGTATATCGGTGCATATATATGTTATATCTTCAAAGGACGCGCTTTACTTATTCCTTTTGAATTTAATAGTCCTATTAACATTATCCCAACGCTACATGTATTAAGTCAAATCCCTGGGGCATCAATATATCGAAGAGTATATTATTTTAAAATAAGGTTTCGTTTGGTCACCTTAATGTTCTTCAGTTCTTGATGTTGAAATAAAAGTCTAATGCATAAAATCGTTGCTTATTTGGTAATCTATATGAAAAATGATATTAACGATGCTGTATTTGTTTTTTTTTTAAAAGATATTTGGCAATTGTTCACCCTCTACGTCCAAGACCTACAAGTCGAGTAGTCTTAGCCATTTCCTGTATTTGGTCTGTCTCAATATTATTGGCTTCACCTAACCTGTTATATGGTAACGAAGTGTTCTATGCTAATTCTACACAGATTACATGTACCTTAGTCTGGCCTGATGGTCAACCTTCAGTTAGTGATATAGATTTATGGTATGTATAGATTTCTTCAAAGAAATTAACATATACGCATTTTATATATATATCCACCTTGTCGAATGAAACATGTTTATGTTAATATAAGTCGGATTTATTTATTCAAGGGGATAAAAAAGCTCAGAAAACAAATTACTTGTTTAAATAAAATAATATAAGATATGATATGTAGTATGTGTTGACCTTTCACATGATATTTATTCAAGTCTGGGATAATGTAATTTAAGTGCATAATACTTGTATTGATTTGAAACTAATTTCTATGCTAATTCTACACAGTAGTAATTCTTGCATGAATATTATATGATAGTGTAACCTTGCTAAAAGAAGAAGATGAATACAAACTTATTTTTGAAATATCGGAGGTCAACACATTTAATTGGGAGAACACAGTTTTAGCATATGATCTGGTTATTTACTAATTGAAATGAATGTTATATTCGTGACTTGGTATAAGCAACCGCTTTTATCGCATTTAGCATCTAATGTGTAACAAAAATGCATAACAATCAAATTTGATCAGATAAAATTGAAATATGTGGATCTTTGTAGGTTATAAATGTAAAACCGTTTCACTGAAAACGACTGATACTTCATGACTTTAAATAAAAATGCTAACCAAAGAAAATAACCTCCTCGAAAAGGAATTTATTATATCATAAAAACACACAGCATTTAAACTTACATACATGTAATGGGGAAATTTGCGTAAGTTTTGATTTCCTGTAAGATTTTTTATGAAAGTTTATGCATTGTAAATATATATGTAGATACAAGAGCTATAATTTGCTCTAAACAAAACTACTTTTACTGTGATTATCAAAGATTATCGCTTTAATCGAAACTTAAGCAACACGACGGGTGCCACATGTGGAGCAGGATCTGCTTACCCTTCCGGAGCACCTAAGATCTGCCCCAGTTTTTGGTTGGGTTCGTGTTGCTTAATCTTTAGTTTTCTATGTTGTATCATCTGTACTATTATTTGTCTGCTTGTCTTTTTATTTTTGGCCATGGCGTTGTCAGTTTGTTTTCGATCTATGAGTTTGACTGTCCCTCTGGTATCTTTCGTCCCTCTGTTTCAAGTATATCTTTGAAAAGCTGACTCATGTTTATCTATTCCGTCTTTTTTATAAAATTTCCTTCGATTTTAAAAAAAAAAGGTGTTTTATTCGCAAAAAAGGAAAACTATTCTCACCCATTATTTCAATGTTATTTAGGAATACGGTTACAACACGAATACTACGTTTTTCTAAATTCCCGAGGTTTCTAAATTAGCATATCAGTATCACATTTTTCAATTTGGTACAATTGCGCACAATGATTAAATGGAGAAATACCTGCAGTTTAAATTCACCTTTGAAAATTCATTATTTGATCACAGATCACCGAAAGTTAAATAGTTTGAGTCTTAAAAATAAGACATACTCACACATAGAATTATAGAAAAAAAGAAGATATGAAAAATTTACAGACGAAGTTACATCTATGGAAGTTCATGTCTACTAGAAATACTGGTTAAGTTTGACATTTGCATAGACAACTACCAAAATCTCTATGATCTCGTTCGTAGATAAATGAACATGTTTACATCTGATGTTGTCTTTTTTTTTGGCATAATCTAATAATACGTGTATTTGGTAATAGTTACAATGTTTAAGATAGATTTTTAATGCTAATATAATGCTGGAATATCCTACCTGGTATTTTTAGGTATAATGTTGTTGTCATCATAGTTTCCTATGTTGTTCCAATGTTAATCCTGATAATAACATATTCTCGCGTTGGAATTGAGCTATGGGGACAGAAGGCTATAGGAGAAAATACACATGTACAGTATGACCGTATTCAGTCAAAGCGAAGGGTGAGTAAAAAAACATATACATGTACCAAAAATATTTATATAATAGTTTTTTTTCATATAGACAAACATAGTGGTAATTAAGTGTTATGGTACTTGCATGTGCTCTATACTTGCGGGTCTCAAAACTTTCTGAAAATTGATTATAATCAATTAATATCTTTTTCACAAAAATCGTTACAACTTAAGACGTCAGAGTTCAATCCTGTTGGAGGTTTGTTTTTATCCCGTTTACGTATAACATGTATAATCAAGCCCTACACATTTCACCAGAAATTAATTAACTTTATATCGAAATAAAATAGCTTTAGTTTGCTAGTTTTACATTGGTCGCAATTCAATTGTCTTAGCTAAGTGCATGTTTTATGTAGTTTGCCTTCTAGGAGTTAAAAAGACTATTCAATAAATTTCAACTCCTTTTTGAGTGTTATAAAATTTTAACTTCGGTTGCTATTACCCTAATTTATATATCTTGAATTTAGATTTCACTGTCTGAAGTGATAATTTAATTTGCCAGACAAAGAATTAATGAAAGTGGGCGACACTACTATATCTGATTTTTTCCGTTTAAATAAAATAAACTACATTGCATTAAATGAGCCGTAAGGAGTGTCATACTTCCACTTTTCTGTTATCAATTATGTGTCGACTACAAAATAAATGTGATTATTAATCAAACCGCAACATACAATGATATTTGAAATATGAATTAATTTGAGATTGGTTCGTATAAGTCACATTTCCCATAATCCCCCAAACTTGCAAATCGTGAATTATCTAGATTTACATTTACCCTAAGGCTTGCGTATGTTTTTTCTGAATTTTATTTTTCGCAGTTATATAAGAATTCGATGCAGTGTAAATTACAATGCACATTGTTATATAGAAGGCGTAAAATATATATCTTTGTCGGATAATAGAATAAATGGCATTACATACAAGCTAATGTCTAGACATACATAGTATTACATATGTACATTATACATGTAATTACTAGTCTTGTTGGTTGGGTGTGATAACTTTTTGGTGATTTCCGTTATCCTTTTTTATGTATTATTTATCAATTATGGACTTTTGACGAGGTCAATACGTTATAATTGGACCTGTTCAGATTATATTGACCGAGAACGAAGTCCGTCCGAGTGTCAATATAATCTAACAGGTCCTTATTTAAAGTATTGCCTGAGCAACCGTCCTTAATTTATATATGATATATGTACATAGTGTATTATTGAAATAGACTTCAATGTTTTTTCTGTGTAATTTACATTGTATTTTGCAAGATTTTCAATATTGACCGTCAACATATATATATTATTGTGTATATTCTAACTAATTTGATTCGTTTACAAAGAGTCACATTTCCAACTATATTTTCAACGGTAGACTGAAAACAGCAGATAGAAAAGTGATATTGCACGGTTATTTTAGAAAAGTTATATTGCACTGTTATTTTAAGAATATCTGACACAATCGAAACAACCTGTTAAATGGAATGGTGCTCTACTTCTGGCTTATTGGCAATAATAATATAACAATTGTAGCCTTTGTATGAGGTCAAAACGAGGATATATCGACCTAAACAAGTATATCGACCACTGATCTCGTTCTCATTTAATATACTTCTTTCAGGTCGATATATCCTCGTATCGACCTCATACAAAGGTTATAATTGTATAATATATATAATAGAAACAACGTGTCAGGTACATGGAATACCCTTTGAATCGCATGCGCGTAACAACCAATGAAGGAAAGAAGAATGCTTCACCATATGTAATATAAATAACTATTAAACGAAGAAAGAAACCAAGAAATTTGTTTTGCATGCACACTTATAAAAATTGCGGTTTTTATCCAACGCAATCACAGGTTTTAACGTTGTTTATAATTTAGACTTATGTGTAACTATCAAACGAAGATATTTGTAGGTAAAATTAAGTAAGCATCATATGCAGATATAGATTTATTCTCAGACATGATCAATATCAAGCAAACCGTATAAATCAAAACTTTGGATTGTTTTGACTATTCAGCTTAATGTTGCACAAAAACGTCTGCTTAAGGTGGTACCAAACACCATGACTCAAATTAATTTGGCTCGTTTAATTTTCATTGAATTTTGACAAAATATTTACCTTGACCCTTTGACAAAAATATAAAAATTTCAAAAAACTTGAACCACACACTTTATCGGTAAAATTTTATTGGATATATAGCAGTTTGACAAACACTAATTTTGATCATTGAGAAGCTTAATATTTTCCTTAACAATAGAAGGTGATTAAAACGTTCAATTAATTTTTACAGAGTTATCTCCCTGTAATGTTGTGTACCACCTCAAATTGCAAACATTGTCTTATATTTTGCAGGTGGTAAAAATGATGATATTCGTGGTGATTGTATTTGGTATATGCTGGCTGCCATACCACTTGTATTTCTTGATAGTCTCTGCAATAAAAGAAATATCACTCAACAGATATATGCAACAAGTGTATCTAGTGATTTATTGGATAGCAATGAGCAACTCCATGTACAATCCTATCATTTACTGTTGGATGAATAATAGGTATAAAAATCCCTGTTCAGTTATGATTTTCCTTCATTATATCTTAGTAGAAAAACCATATCTTGTGTATCTAATAAACATACAATTATGGGTATAATAAACTTAGTACTCATTATTAAAACGAGTTAGAATTTTACCAAAGGATATTATCAAAAAACAAACGACAATGCCAGCATTATCACTCTGACAAATATAATACAGCAGTACTCAGATGGAGGATTATTTATTATATATATTATACGGTATTGCTTAATCAAGAAATATTTTATATCATAGTAATAATTTTATATATGTATAAACAAGTTATAAGGAACATATTATTCAATGTTTACACAGTTTCAGTATTTTGGTTTCAAAAAGGAAAACCATCATTTACCTTTTAAGTTGATTAATAAAATTGATTGTGAAAAATATTGCCAATTACAGATTCAGGCAAGGTTTCGTTGAGGTGTTTTGTTCCTGTCCGTGCAGGCCTTGTAAAAAACTGAAACAGAAACATGGCCAAGGAACCACTTTTACAGCAGTCGGAACTTATGCAATGACAGAAAAATATCAAGAAAGAAATGGGTCTGTTCTGCAATCAGTAACATACTACAATGGACATCAGACCAAGAAAAATGGTACAGAAAAATTGGAATGTTTTAGTGAAGATGAATATTGTTTGTAAAGAGAATTGTGTAATTATTTTGTATATCCATTGTGGATATCATCATTAAATGATACAAATTAATTATATTTTTTAATAAAACATGGCTGGACCCATAGACAGCATAAAAACCCCTAAAAAGAAACTATTGTGATGACAATTAAAAACATTTTTACAAGATTAAATCTGCAAATGGGCATCATTGAATATATGTTGTAATGAAAAAAGAACGAAGAATGCAATTATTCAGAGGTAATTGTCATCTTAAAATATTCCATAGTGCTTATATAATTAATTATATACATTTAGGTTACTAGTTAAAAGAGTACCTGCATTTTCTTTTTATCTTCTTCAAATTTGCCTACTATTAAGGGAAAACGAATTGTGGGTAATGGTAAAGTCAATAAATCAGATTGTATACTTGATAGAATTTTCTAAAAATATTAGGAGACTTTGGGTACAAGTCAATGAGACGATAACCTACATATAACTACACAAAAACGGTCGATAAACCTGGTTTTATCGCTTGCTAAACTTCTCACTTGTATGACAGTCGCATAAAATTCCATTATATTGACAATAATGTGTGAACAAAACAAGCAGACATACTATCAAAAATAGGGGTACAGCAGTTAACATTGTGTAATGATCTTAATCACTATAAAAGCAAACAAATATGTCGACAAAGAAAAACGAAATGGCATATAGACAAAGCACATAAGCAAAAATAAAAGACAAGAATACAAAAAATGACCACAGCACAACAACTTAATGGCGGGATGCATAAGTACCGAGCCACGCTAATAGGATATTACCAAAAAATGGACTAAACAGTTAAGGTTAATAATTTACAAAGACAAATAAAAGAACACTAACACGTAATTAAGATGACAAACAAAGTCAGTACCTAGAATCTATACTTCAAGACCATCATGTATTATTTGTGAAATTGCTACATAATATTTATCAACAAGGTCTTTGTATCTTCCGTTGAACTTTTTTAGAAAAAGGACGAGACGTTCTTAGACATAACTCTGGTTCATCAACCTTCTGCACAGACACTGGTGACGAAGATTAGCAGATGAAGTTGGTATATTGCTACTAAGGTGGGGGGAAATTGATAATTTCAAAACTAAAATCGTCCCGTTTGTCATAGATTCTGGCACTGAGATGACCGCTTATGTCAAATTCGAGGTATAAGTTTAAATATGAGGCGGAGGAAGCCGTGTCTGTTGTTTCTTTAATTTCTAGTTCTGGAGTATATATTAATGGAACCCAATCAGGAAAGTTTGGATTGTTAATGGAAAGAACATCATCAATATATCTGAATGTGAAAGTTTCTGAAGGAAATCCGACTCATATGAAAATAAGAGGAGGTCGGCAAGAAGAGGCGCACAGTTCGTTCCCAAGGAAATGCCGACAATTTCTTGAAAAAAACTACCTCCAAATTCAACAAATATGTTGTCAATAAGAAACTCCAGCATACTGATCACTTGTTCCTCTGTGTACCATGTTTTACCGTTTTGTTCACTATTAACAAAATATGCCGTATGGTATCCCAAAGTAAAAAAATTATTTTAATATTGAAAAGCATTGTGCATTATTTATTTTAGACGATTTTTCAATTTCACATGGGGAATGGTAGTATACAGGGTTGAAAAATCAAAAGTTTTGATAGAAAATCGAGAATAAAAATTATCCAGAAGTTCTTTAGAATTTTTTATAATCCACGTATGGTTAATACCACTACGTGAGTAAACAGTTTCACAGTATTTTTGAAGACCCTCTTTCAATGCGGACAGAACATTTGTCAATATAATGGACAATTGCTTTGTAGAACATTCAGATGAGCCGGCAATGTACCGTTGTTTGTATGAAATTATGTGGAACTTAGTTATCCAATACAAACAAGGTAAGTCCTTAGATTTGCTGTTCAATGTAATGTTCATTGAAGCCATGGAGGACTTATGATTCGCCAAAATCTCATCCTTGTCAAATGATATGTCTGTATGTGGGAATACCCGAGTGCTCATTTATTCCTGATTCTTTTACAAGACACTCGTAGTAGTACGATTTACAATATTATTTGAAGCTTTGTCCGCAGAAACAACACCATATTTTTCGTGAAGAGATGATAGACATTTCACAGCTTCTTTGTCTCTAAAAAAGGACTTTGGTTGATCTTTCACACAGTTTTTCAACTTATAAATTCTACGTTTTATCAGAGACCTGATTGTTTTGACCCATTCTGACAAAGTGTCCAGTTCAACTTCTTCTCGTTTAGTACATGCTCAGGTGTAGTTCGCAACTGCTCAATAGAATCCATAATTATTTTGAAGTTATGGTTCCAATTGATGAGTTGGGGTTCTCTGAACTTCGGACCATGAGATATCACCTTTCGGAGATGTTCATGTTGAATTATGTTTAGATCCCCAGTAATAACATGACCAGAGGGCTGTAAATATAAGGCGAGAGGGAACAGTCACATGTCAGAGGTTTTTTTTTAAGTATTCTTCTAAATCAAGGACATGCAATGCTTGCTTATAGTTAAATACTTTAGGTGCAATGGTGTTGGTGTAACTGTAGGATACAATAGGAACAGACTGATTTTGAAAATAAAGTGGAATTTTAGATGTAACTTCCTTGTGATGAAGAACGTTGCTGATGTTGATTGCATCTATTCCTTTATTAGAAAACTGAACTGGAAGAAATTTCCTCTTTTTATCATGTAAAGGTTTTGATCTTACTGGTTTAAAAAGACGGAAAAGAGCTACTTAAAAAATTAAACTGTCCATTCTGTATATTGGAGAAAATGTATTTATGCATCCCAATCTCTCAAACATTTTAGAAAATTAACAGGCAGTGAAACAAGAATAGTTCTTATGTAATGTAACCCTAGTGGATGACGAAGATGTGATAGAAGGTCATCAAAACCCCAAGAGGGCGATCTAGATTTGAAACTTAGTCTTTCTGGATATAAAAATAAAAGTTAATATTAAGATTATAACACAATGTTTACTGCTGTACCCCATTTTTTGACATTTGTACCAATTATGTCTGTTTGTTTTGCTCACACATTGTTGTCAATATAATGGAATTCTATGCGACTGTCATACAATTGATAGGTTTCGCTAGCTATAAAACTAGGTTTAATCCACCATTTTCTACATAAGGAAATGCCTGTACCAAGTCAGGAATATGACAGTATTCGTTTGATGTGTTTGAGCTTTTGATTTTGCCATTTTATAATGGACTTTCCGTTTTGAATTTTCCTTGGAGTTTGGTATTTTTGTTATTTCACATTTTTTCATAGCTCCAATGTAACATTTGAAACTGTACTTACCATCTAAAAACACTGTATCCAAACAATCCTTGTTAAAAATGTTTCAACTCGATAGTTTCTAATTTCTAGTACCTTAATGGACCACGAAAAGAAAGCGAAAAGGAAGGATTTCTATAGACATTTTTGTTAATTGTATACAGTTGTAGAAAATAAATACATATATTACTATTTCGATTGTGAGATGCAACATCTTATCCAACTGATCTAGATTAATAGAGGAATAAGTGAAAACGTAAGGCAAAATATGACCTCATCTCGAATTTGGCTGACTTTCTCATTAAATTGTTGTCCGTGAGGCTAATTTTGTTGCACTTCAACTTGCTAGTCGTACACATGTTCAGTAACTGAAAGAAAGCATATCTAGGCATTGCACAAGATCATGTTTTTCTCGGACTGTTAATGACGTCTTTACACTAAATCCATTGGATGTTGGATGTGTACTGATTGATATTTTAGTCTTAGATGCATGATTTTTTTATTAGTTGTTATTTGCTTTGAACTAGGTGTCAGTAACTGCGAATACTCTCAGATCTGTACTTAGTGCCTTTTTGTTGTGCCACGTCCACTCTGTGTTTTTGTTACTTGTTTTTGTGCTTTGTATCGATCTTATGAGTTAAGACATTTTCAACTAATTTTTATAGTTTGTTCATATGTTGTACTGTTACACCACTGTCCCAGGTTAGGGGGAGGGTTGGGCGTCCGCTACCATATTTAACCCCGCCACATTCTGTATGTGCTTGCCCCAAGTCAGGAGCCTGTAATTCAGTGGTTGTCGTTTGTTGCTGTATATCATATTGGTTTTTCGTTCATTATTCTGTACATAAATCTGGCCTTTAGTTTTTTCGTTTGAATTGTTTTACATTTGTCATTTCGGGGCCTTTTATAGCTGACTATGCGGTATGGGTTTACTCATTGGTGAAGGCCGTACGGTGACCTATAATTAATAATTTCTGTGTCATTTGGTCTCTTGTGGAGTGTTGTCTCATTGGCAATCATACCAAATTTTTTTTATTTTTATGTTAAATGATGTTCCGTTCCCCTGATTGTTTCAAATTTTCATGTACCCACTTTCTTGTGTCTTGTATGCTAATTTGTTCTTTTGAGTTTCTCTGTTCTTCAGCTTTAAACTTAACATAAACCTATTATGTCTGTTTGGGTTGTTCACCCAATTTTGTCAATATAATGGAATAGTAAACAACTTTCATACAAGTGGGATGAGTAGCTAGCTATACAGCCAGGTTTAAACCACAATTTTCTTCAACAACACCTGTACCAAGTCAGGAAGATGACAGTTGTTTTTCACTCGTTCCGTTGATTGATAACATATGCAATGTCGGTTTGAAATGACATCCCTTTTTTGAATTGACCTTGGAGTTATGTATTTTTGTTATACTATTTTCTTGATTTACAGAGATTTCTTCTGTACCTTAGATTTCATTCCTTCCCTACACTTTTTTTGTCTTATAGTTTTCTTGAACCTGAGCTTTTTGAGTCAATTTTTGTATACTTTGTTTTACAGTTTAGGTCTCTGATTTAACTGTATAGTTTCTTTTCTATGAAAGGCTGCCTCTCCTATACAAACTCCAGTTGTCTTCACACACATTGTAACCCTCTAAAGTATCTGTAAATTATGACTTCCGTTTCCTGGTCAACATCAATATCTCGATTCACATAATGA